CCCCAAAACCCCAAAACCCCAAAACCCCAAAACCCCAAACATTTCCTGTATAATTGAAAAATGGGTAATAAATGATGCTTGCATCTAAAACAGGGATATGAAGAGCAAAAAGATAGTCATACCGAAGATCAAGGAGGCTCAGAGGATTATTCACTCAAAAGTGTGATTGAAAGTTCTGATACTACCTACAGCAACCAATTCCAGAATAGAGTCAATGACTCTGAGAAGTACTCTTTTGAAGAAGAGACAAAGTCATCTGCTTTTACTGAAAGCGACAGGAAGTTATGGGCGAAGCAGCGTTCAACTGATCCTGGGGATGAAGAGTTCTTTTCCACTTCCATCAACCTAATTGACTTCAATATAATATCTCTAGTTGGAAAGGGTTCTTTTTCCAAAGTTTATCTTGTTCAAAAATAAGGATAATGGGCGATATTATGCCATGAAGGAGCTCAAAAAGGTGTCTTTAATAAACGAGAGGAAGAAAAAGAGAGTACTTACAGAGAAATAACATCTTTTTGAAATTTAACAACCCTTTCATTGTAAAGATGTACTACTCATTCCAGACAGTGGACAAGATCTATTTTATCCTGGATTTTGTCAATGGGGGAGAACTTTACTCCCATATGGTCAAGGAGGTTAGGTTCTCAGAGCTTAAGGCAAAATTTTATGCAGCCGAGATTGTCATTGCCCTGAAGACACTTCATGAAGCTGGGATAATTTATAGAGACTTGAAGCCTAATAATATACTTCTTGATAGCCAAGGACATATTAAGCTTATTGACTTTGGGCTTTCTAAATTTCTTGAGCCAAATATAGAACCAACAACAAGTATTGTCGGGACTCCAAATTATATTGCTCCAGAAATTTTACAGAAAAAGAAGCATACCAGCATGATTGACTGGTGGAGTTTTGGCGTAATGGTTTTCGAAATGATAACAGGCAATCTCCCATTCTTAGACCATACATGACATTCTCAGTAAGTATTGAATTATTTGTTGCAAACTTTCCTGAGATACCACTGAAATCGCTTATTTCCATTATAGCAAGGATATATACAGAAATATTCTTACTAAAAAGATAAATTTCTCAAGGAAGTTTTCAAGAGAAGCCAAAGATTTTGTAGTTAAGCTCCTGCACAGAGACCCTAGCAAGCGGCTTGGAGCCAAAGGAACAAAAGAAATAATGGACCATGTGTTTTTTAGTGAGGTAGATTGGGTAAAAATTGCAATTAAGGGCTATGTAGCTCCTTTCGTCCCTGAGACAAACGGGGAAACTGATTTAGCAAATATCTCCCAATGCTACCTTGACCAGAAGGGCTTGGAGGAGTCAGGTGACATCAGGATGACAGATGCTGAAAAAGAAGATAGATATTTGGAAGAACTCTCCTATAATCACTCAAAAGCATCTGTAGATAGTTAACTCTTAACCTAATCAATACTTTTATGGTTACAGGGGTTTTGGGGTTTTGGGGTTTTGGGGAG